GGGTATTCCACTTTAAATTTTCTACTTTTTCTGACTACTGCTCTCCTATGAGTTGGTAATATTGATTTGAGTGGTTAGTCTGGTAATGTCCACATATACTGCATTATTTTAGCACAGCCATAGTGTCACTGCATAATAAACACAATGCTTTGCCATCTAATTCAATAACAAAATAATCCACACTCCACCGTGTCTTAAAAGTGTGACCTTCAAAATCCATTTTCTCATCTTTTCTTGTTTTGATACGATAGGCATGAACTGATAATAAAAAGTAAATAAAATACTGCAGTACAGTGATATGTGGCACTCAAAATGCTGTTGAATTTTAACTGCGACACTGTGATCTGCCGTGCGCTAAACAGCTGTGCGAAGTGATGAGAATACCACATATGGTCTCCGTCTATGCCATTGTAGCAGGAAATCACCCATACACAACAGGTAAATGAATGAGTTTGGCTGTGTTCCAATAAAACTTTACTTATGTACTCTGCTGTTTAAATTTCACATAATTTTCAGGTGTCGCAAAATGTAATTCTTCTTTTGATTTTTTTCATTTAAAAATGTATACAGCATTCTTAGCTCACAGACTGCACAAAAATAGGTGGCAAGCTGGATTTGGCTCACAGGCTGTAGTTTGCTAACTGATATCCCCCAAAATTCAAGAGAATTACTTTTCCACATAGAGAATTACCATTCTTCAATCAAGAGATCTTATGAACAACATATTGTAAAAGCTAAACATCTTCTGACTTTAAATTTTAACAAATGCCCTGGGAAACATGAGGCCTGAGGTTGGGCTTTAGTTTAGAATCGAAGACTATACATTTAACACAATCTTCTGAAATTCAAATATATTTCCTACTACTAGGTAGTAACAAGTTATAATAAAGGAATCTCATTTGAGGAACTAGAAAATTGAGTCAACAAAAGAACTAAATAGGAGCTTAACTCTTTACCACTTTACTAAAATTAATCAAAATTTCTCTTTTGGCAGATATGTTAATGCTCATATTATTTTGGAATAACTTGCTATCTCTAATTTGTCTAACTTAAATTACTGATGTGCTGATTCATAACTCCATTTTCCCTGCTTGTAATAGATAAAAAATGGATGCCTCATCTATCCAAAATGCCAAAACTCATACAACACACACTTAAATATATTCTTCTAATGTTCAAAATTTTATAGATCTGACTTTTTCAAGTTATTTTGATGAACTAAAATTACTGAGTTCCAAATTATTCACTTAAATAGTGGTTAGATGAGAGGAACTATTGGCATAAGAATCTTAGTAAATGGATGATTAAAAATCAATAAAGTATAGTATCTCTTCCAGCATTTGGCAAAGAGAGATGCAAAAAAGAGGCAGATGGGGGAGGGGTGTTGAAGGGGAAGGAGAGGGGCTGTAGATAATAGAGACAACCTCAGATTCAAGCCTGAAGGTAATAATATAACCTAAATGCACGTGCGGTGGGAAGTGCACAATCTCAGGTATCCAGAGCTAGAAATTAAGAGAGGCTGAGAAATAGCCCTGTACCACAGCGTGCATGATCTACCACGCAAAAAAATTTCCTGTGAATAGGAAATACTACTACAAATAACTAACTTTAACTCTTCTATATGTATACATCTTTATAAATATAGTTGATAAATAATGAGAGTATGATAAAATGCTTTGTGGCACATATTTAGATGGGTAAACGCAGTAACTTTTCATTTACTATCAATTTAATATCATTAGATTTCCATCAAGCCTGAAAAAAAGGGCAGGCAGCAACATTGTGTAATCTTGTTTTGGATATAAATACTAGTTGCATAATAATCTCAGAACCTCTTACATTTATTTGAGAAAACTCTACATGATACAATAAACAGAAACCAAGAATATAAATTATTAAATTTATGAGTTAGTTTCTGAGACCTTTATAGTCCTTGGCCTCTATCCAAATAATATCATATATATTAAAATGTGACTTCTCAGGAACCCTCATTCATACGCAGATATTAAAAAGTGACAAAATTTAACCTAATTGTTTGAAATATTTTTTGTATGTGGAATTTAATAATTAAGATGACATAATATTATACCTTGTAACATAATTTTCTTTTCATATTTTGGAACTAACAAAAATTTTTCAGGTCCCAAACATTTCCAAAGAGCCCTGAAAAACATAAGCATTGTGCTTAGAGTCCTTAATATATAAAATCACCCCAAGAAGTAATAAAAAACAAAAACCAATACATAGAACTTACTATGTGCCAGGGACTATTTTCACTATTTTACATTTATTCATGCATGTAATCTTCACAATAACACTATGAGTTGAGTGCTATTATTATTACCATTTCACATTTAAGGAAAATGAGGCATAAAGGGATTAAATAATCTGTCCCGTTTCACAAAGGTAATAAGCTATACTGACAGGATTCAGAACTGGGCAACCCACCATGTTATGCTTGTACATATGTCTTTGCATACTTGTAGGCTAAAGTTCTAGAAGTAGAACTTCTAAGTCAAAGAGCATGTAAAAGTTGAATTTTGATATATATTGCTAAATTATCCTCTAAAAAAGTTATACTAATTTACATTTCTGCCGAGACTTTACATGAGAGCTTATTTCTCCATATACTACACAAAACTGAGTCTTATCAAATTATTTAATCCTTGCCAATGTGGTAGGTGAAATAGCTTCTTTTCTAAAAATTTTTATTTCTTTAATTATCACAGGGTTGTTGGCCATTTGTATTTATTTTTCCAGGAACTATCTGTTCATCTGTTTCATTCATTTCTACTGGACACAATATTTCAACAAAGTCCACAACAAAATTTCAGGAAAGAAAAGATACTAGTTTAATTTTAAAGGACTAATATTATGGTAAAAAGAAAGATTTTTCCTTTCCATTACATTAAAAATATAAATGTAGGTTTTAATGGAATTACCTTAGATTATCTTAACAGTGAATAACTCATTCTCAGAATAAAATTCTTGAGGAAAGCCTAATCTTAAACTCATATCCGGAATGTAAACACTGTTCAGTGAAATGTAGCTAAAGTTTTGCCTTAGTAAGATGTAAGCAATTAAATCTTCTATCATATTATCAAAGATTTATTATCCTTAACTTATTATATTTTTGGTCACTGCTTTAACACCATAATTAAGAAATAATGATTTATGAGCATAACTAGTTTTCCTCTCATTATACTCTGAAAAGCAATAAAACAAATTCTTCTTTGGTCACAAAATCTCTTTTTTATATAAGGTTATAATGGGTGGCTATTTTTAATTTTACCACATTACACTCCAATATTTGTATGCTCAGTCTTTCTTGGTGTTTATTAAAATAAATTGATCACTTTGAGCATAAATTCCTTGAAAGTATTAACCCTTGTAACCTTAAATACACAGTAAATATATTTTGATGAATAAATGGATAAATTATGTAGGAGTAACATAATGATTTAAAAAACAGGAGTAATTTATGTTATATTCTTTCACCAAACAGTACAAGAATTAAGAAACAGAATTTGTCACTGCACAAGAATTGAGAAACTCCACCATCCATTTTGTGCCACGCATGCAATTGTTCAATTGTCTACAGCAGAGTCTCTAAATCTTGGAATTATTGACATTTTGCCAGATAATCTTTGTTGTAGGAGGCTGTCCTGTACACCATAGGATGTTTAGCAGCATCCATGGCCTCTACCCACTAGAGACAAGTAACATCTTCCCACCTGATAAACAAAAATGTCTCCAGATATTGTCAAATGTCCCCTGGAGACAAAAATTTCCCAGGGTGAGAACCACTGGTTTAGAGATAGCTGACACTGTAAAAATACTATATCTGAAGCCAACGCGAGATGACTGTGAAGAGCTTCAAAACTTGGGGAACAGCTTCAAGAATCACAAGATGGCTGCTTGGAAAAACCCACTAATGCTGGGGACTCCCATGCCTCCATTCCTCTCATCAACAATCAATCCACCATAATAATTAAGCCTTCATCTTATACAGGTGATTCGACAAGCATTTGTTAATTTCCTCAATCCCATTTAGCCAACTTTAAAAGATATTAAACCCATTTCCAAGAGCTAGTCCCAGGACCCTACTACTCAGTTAACTATCTGTAACACTACACCATTACTGAACAATAGAAAGGATACTGTTTAACTACATTAGATGGGGACTTTTGGCTGAGTCTTTTGAAGTAAACTTCCAACAGGTCAGATAATATAACATGTACAATATTGAAAAGAAAATGAGTGCATAATCATTTCTAGCTGCAGTTCTAACATAAAGACAAGTACATACAATGCTTATTAATAAACATGTTTGCCTATGTTGTTGCTGAAAAAAATCCAGAGATAAGTTAAATATTTAAAAGTAGAATGCCTTAATTATGTTTTCTAAATTTAAAAATGTACTACTAGTAGCCTTTAATATTTGAAAAGGACTAAAAAAATTAAGATTTCTCAAAACTTCTTTAAAATTCTGTGCAACAGTAACAACAAAGTGCAGAAGCAATTGATTTAATAGCCTATAATAGAAGACATTCCTGCTCAAAGATAAAAGAACTCAATTAAAAGTCAAATTTTTGTACTAAAAGCTCCTGACATCTATGAGTCTCCTCTTATCTCTAACACTCACTGTCTTCATTTCCAAAATGGTTCTCCAACAAGTTTTCAGGATGAAATGGGATAAAAATAAATACATAAGTTTTGAAAAGAATAAAGCATTATTCCAACATAAGATATTAGCAGTAACTGGGCAAATGAATACAACATCACACAAATTTTGACTATCAGAATTACCAAAATTAGTAATAATGAGTAAAGTTAACATATTTCTTAAAACATTTTATTCTGACCAAACAACAATCAGTTCATTTCTAATTTACTTTTCATTACTTGCAAAAATAAAAATCAGAATGTTAAATCTGATAAAGTACAACTATAAATAATAACACAAATATTTAAACCTTCCAGATTTTCTAAATACTTACATTACTTGCAAACTTTCTGCCGTTAAATTATTCCACATAATCTCATTTGCCTGAAGATTTTCATTTTCTTCTAGTAAGGAAATATCAAACTCAATTTCTTGCTCTTTAGCAGCCGTTGTTCTAGTAAAGCATGCCAAATAATTTTGATCAAAATAAACATACTATCATAATATATCTTAGTATGTACCAAAGGCAGACTATTTGTTCTTATCCAAAATTATGTCAACAAAGTAAACACAAATAGAATAAATTAAATTAAACCACAAGCATCAATGCTCTAGTCATGTAATTTCAGTCTTAGTTGTCTCATTTTTAGAATGCAGATATTAACTTGTTTTATTCCTGTGACCATAGCAATGAGTATAAAATAAGATGATGCACACATGGAAAAATAATTGGTGCATCATAAAGTTTAATACACATAAAAGTCATAGTCTTATTATTATATAAATGTTAAAAAGAAAATAAAAGTTTATGAATTAAATATGGCTTTAAGAAATGATGTTACAACTGAAAAATTTTTAAAGATCATTATATAAATTAAATAGTTATCATTATTGAGAAAGGACTTTGAAAATAGACAAGCTAATCTGAAATATCTGTTGTCCTAACAAGTTCTTACTATTTCTTATCTTAATTTGGTTAAATATTACATGGTAGAAGAAAAAAATAATGATATCCAAAATACTGAAAGAGGAATGAAAATATCATACATACCTGTGAACATCTATGAAATTATTGTATTCTGTGCTAGGATCTATCTGTTCAACCGACATTTGAATCTCTTTATGGACATTCACTATTTCCTCTGTAACAAGACTGGTTATCTGGCTGTATTCATCAAATATACTTTTTCTGAAAACAAAAATAAAATTTTACAACATTTCAAAGTTTATCAAGGGAAACAAAGGCCCAAAAAGGATTCAGAACAATAAACATAATACATGTAACATTAATATTTACAGATGGTGGTTCCATGCATCACCTTATTTTATACACCTGGATAGTAAAGAGATTATACAAACGTACAGATTAACAACATGCATTTGATATAACATAATAACTGCAAATGATCTAGAATAAGACATTACCTTTTCCAACAGGTATTTGACATGTTCAAAATGTAAAGTCAGTGTTGTGATGATCACTTTCTATTTCTAAACATTATCATAGAAATATTGGATTCCATAACATGGAACTGTGGATCAACTCCTGTCTCTTTAACATTTCTTTCCAGTGTCTGCCACTTCTTCACATGCCCTACCTCTTGGTCCTTCTTTTGCTCCTGGGCCTCCGCTCTTTTTTGTATACATAATTAGAGAGTTCAACGAGTTCTATATCTTCAATGACATCTATATCTCTCCTCCTGACCTCCAGTTAGTAGCAATAAAGTCATAAAATTTATTAGCCTTACTTAATAAATGCAAAAGGAAAAACTCTTGTGTTGCAAAGACCCAATCACTAACTTAAGAACGCTACGCTATAAAAATATACTATTAGTTATTAGTGGCCTCAACAAGAAGTATGGACAGACAAGCTCATCCTGCATATGTCCAAATAAATATAAGGCATTGTTTGTTTCTCTTTTCCGAGATCATCACTTATAAAAAAGTAATCTTTACAAAATTTCTCTTATTATGAAGTATTCTCTCAATTATGTTATTTTAAATAGCAATATATTATTTGGATAAAAAAAAATTAGATTTAAACTGCTTCAAGAAATGCCAGTTTGGAATGATTACAGAAATCACCTGACAGACACAATTTAAAGAAAAGGGGGAGGCAGAGAAATTTAATAGAAATTCAGGAAATAACACTGATGCTACAACCTCATAACTGAAAGTACTGAATGGTACAAATATAAATGAGGCTACCTAGACAACTCTTATAAAGCAATACAGTAAGTGGTTAAGATGTGCAAATCACTAATATTCACCTTTAAGATAAATGGGGGGAAGAAAGGAAGAAGTCTCCTAACGTTATATGAATGAGTACTTAAGACATCAGACTCAATTTCAGTGATATCATCATGCTTGGATTTTTTAAATGTCAGATCGAAAATAATTTATCAGAAGGTAAACATAATAAGCTGTGGTAAACTATCATATGTCTCAAAAAGATGTTCTAGTGACAATGCAGATACTATAATTGAAGACTGATGAAAAAATATTGATTCTTGAAATGAGAGTAGGAAAGGAAATATTTCTGAATCAACAATATGTAAAGTAGACATAACTAAATTTATGAATATTTTAAGTAGAAATTTCACTATTTTATGAACATTCTTAAAACTTTATTCAAGTTGACTAAAAACACTTTATCTTCTTATTGGTAAAATGGAGGATGATCTAAATCAGCTAATAAGGGAAATGAAGTCTACCACAGGACGGTTTTTTTCTGTTGTCTTGAATCGATGTGTATAGTAAATGTGTGTGCACTGGACTTACAGACCAGAGCATATTGATAGCCCCTTGAAGGCAGAAATTGTGGCTTACTCATCTCTATATCTCCAAGACCCAGGCAATAAACATTTGCTGATTTTGATCTCATACAACAAGATGACAAATAAACCTTCAAAAAATTCTTTCCTTCGAGCTTCTCAGTTGCTCAAGACTTAAACACTCAACTATTTGGAGACAGATATCCACTTCTTAACACTTGTCAACTAATGATTTTTTTTTCATTTAAATTTCCAGCTAACTGGAGCAAAACAGAAACATAAAAGAAGATGGGCAATTCTTGGGGCTACCTAGAAAGTTGAGGAGATGAGCATAAACTGAAGGAACCCCAAAAGTAAAAACTCAAGACTAAGGTAAAACAGGCCTGAAATATCCATTGGACTGGCTCAATAAGGAAGCTTACAAAACATAGACAACTTTTATAAAAAACTTTACTACGAGAGAAAATAACATCAAAATCATTTTGTGTAAAATAAGAAATGTATCTTACAGTGCTTTTATCATTTCTTCTTGCATTTTTTGTAAGGAGTCCAGAAGCAAAGGAAGTGTGGTGTCATAATATTGATTCTGATGAAGCTGTGCCCCTTTCAATGCCAATACATACTGATTATGTAACATATGAAGTTTCATTGTGGCTTTGTCGTAACGTTCCTTGGCCTTTTCTGTTTCTCTCCCTGAAGAAGTTGTTGAAGAAATTTAGCAGAGATAAAAAAAAAAAGTTTTATCTTTATTGCATGCAAACTGGGTTACTACTATTTTGTTATTTCACATATTTTATGAATAACCAAAATTTACTGAACACATACTATGTGCTCAGCTCTATGCAAAGTACTATTTATTTGCTAGAACTTTGTACAGAGACTACACTGAAGGAAGCACGCACTGCAGTAAATGTTTGGTGAGTAAAGGCTGATGTACAATTGTTTGTAAAATTGTACAGATTAATATGAGCATTATCATCTTCAAGGAGCTTACACCAAATTGGAACAACAATACACATGAATTGTATAACCAAAACAACAAGAAAGTTTGAAGTAATGTTAAGTTTTGATCTCTATGTTTGAGATATCAATCAGGACAAGGGAAGTCAGAGGAAACTGTAAAGAAAACAAACCTTAAAAGATGAGGCAAGTCTGGAAAGGTATAAGAAAGACAGAATAGACAATAATTCCTCCCTCTTGCCTTCTTTTTCTCCTTTCTTCCTTCCTGTCATTCAATGAATGTGATTAACTGATCACCACCAGGAACTGTGCTAAACATTGAGAATTCAGTATTTGGCAAAACAGAGTCCTTGACATAGAGCCCATGGTCTGGTGATTTTGAATACTGAGTGAAAACATGGAGAGAATAAGCAATGTTGTATATGCAAGCAAAGAAACAAGCTAAAGAGAGCAAGTTTTGAAGTAAAGGAAATATGTCTGTATATGTAGGGCAATTTTAGGTTGTGAATAACTTGGAAATCAAGCAGAGAAAATAAGACAATGTGGGAGAAGTCTTGCAGAAAATGATAATATTATGAACTAAAACTACTTCTGGTTCCTTTACTACAATCATTCGGAAAATATTTACAGATTGACAATATAAATTAATGACTATATAAATAAATGAAAATTTTAAGCAGATCTTCAATTTTTGATGCAAACTGAACAAATATTTCTTGTCAATTATTTAGACTTAGGAATAAACTTTTCAAAATATTACTAATTTTGCCCTCTTTCCAAGGAGAGTCCGGCAAATGAATCTTCTCCCCAAAATAAATCTTCTGTTGAGAATTTTTGACTCCAGAGGCTCTCCTCTGCTGCCACTCTGTTTAGGCTCAACACCCAACTGAGTATTCCCTATAGACAATAGTCAGAAAAGCACTCTCTATCGGAGAATGTCTCTAGCCCACAGCCAAAAGAAGAGAAAAACTCAGGGTTTTTGCAGAGAGGAGACCTCAGACCTCCCCAGATCATGCCAGGGTAGAGCAACAGAATGAGAAGAACAGCTCCCTTGCCTTTCTCTTTACTTCTCTAATTCTGACGCACAGGAACCACATCCAGCTAATGAAAAAGGAAACAAACCTTTCCAGCTGACTGGTATGTCTCTACTGTAACCAACAAATTCTAGTGTTTCCCAGTATTAGAACTACCAGTGACTTCTCCTAGGGACGTGCACATAATTATTTTACAGAGCGTAATTCTCTACCCATAGTCCATTAGTCGGTTCCTGCACATGGGGATGCTAATAATTGTCCAAGTTAGTTGCAAAATGTTGCCCTATATAGCCTATTTCACTTTATAACATAAAGAACTTCTCGATGAGAAAATAATTTAATCACCAGAGTATCTTTTCTAATCCCTCTCACTGCTGGCTGGAAAGAGATTCTAACACTAGAGTGGGAAGATAGAAGCAAATATATTAATTCAGTTCTGTAGCGAAAGGAACAGAAAAAAATATTAGCCACTAAAGAAGTGGGTTTTCTCATTTTTTGACTACAACACACAGGATAATATATTTATGTCATGAACCAGTAAATAATCATACAAATTTTAAAATGTATAACTGAAATAATAAATTCACAAAATAATCCTTCCCCTTACTATGAAGGATGCCATGCAATTTTTTTTTAATTCTACTGTTTGAATTTTGAATTTTTTAAGATATTCATTCATTCAGAAAGCAATACATTTTTTTGCCTAAGTTATATAAATCCCTAGAGAAGTTTTAACTCGCTCTGTATGGCACTAGGGATAATTTACTTTTTTTAACTTAGCAATTAATAAATCTCTTCAATAATACTAATCACGAATGATTTTTAACATTCTCAGGAACACATTCTCTTACATGTTCAGTTACTATAACAAGTTTTTTTCATAAAATACTATATTTATTTACCCACAAACATTGCTAGGTAACATTCTTCTTACAGAAATACATTTACAAGAAAATCCCCAAGAGTCAATCCAATTGATATATCTACGGCCAGCCCCGCAGCTGTCCTCTAAAATGGCAAGCCCTTTTTCTCCCTACCCTACACAAGTCAGGAGAAGACTCCTATATGAAGCTGACACTCAAGCTCCAAAACACGTACCCAACCAAATAGGAACCAATCTTTTGGCAGGGAGCTAAATCACATTAATGCCTGAATGAGACTGCAAGTCCATGAACATCCGCTGCAGAAGCTGCCGGAGCAGCCCTTTCTAAGGCCTTTTTCTTTGGGGTTTTTTGTTTTAATTTACCAATTTAACCTAGTTTAACTTTCTGTTACTTGAAATTCAACAATTTCTAACAATAGACAGTTTAAAAAGTCAGGGACAATTATGCAGATAAATTAATTCCAAGTAATAAAGTTTTCTAGAGTCCACATGTTCATAATAAGAAAATAAGACAAGTAGTTACCAGAAAAGAATATTTAAGTACTTTGTTCTAATTTGTTCATTTTTATTTTAAGTTCAAAAAGTATAACTAGTGAATTCAATGAATTCCATATTTTATGTCACTTTTTACAAAATATTTTTATATGAATACTTTTTATATGAATTCTATTATTCCTAATTAATCACTTGGATTTTTTTAGTATAACTTCAGGAGTCAAGCTCTCCATACAAACATTTTCATAGAGACAGTTAAACCATTTAAACCACCCATCTGTCCCCCTATTTGCACAGATTTTTAAACTGCATGCTACCCATCTGTCTTTCTTGCTGGTGCAGAATGATTCACTGAATATGCAACACTCAGCTCACGAAGATTTTATAATCCAAAATAACATTAGAAAAGTTAAGAATGTCCCAGATACTTTTTTTCTTTATCAGATATGGTATATGACAAACAACCTGAAGAAGACTATTATAGCCAAAATCTAATTATCAACAACTTAGTGGTCATTAACACAATTGAGAAGAAAATTAAATGCCTTTGAAAACATCCAAGGCAGAACCCATTCCCTTAAAATACTACTACTAACAAATTCTTTAAAAACTGCTTTGGGTTTAAAACTGAATTTGAGGGTATGTTTTAGTAGGGTTTATTGGTTTGTTTGGTTTTTGTACTCTACTGCTCACATACACTTGTACACTTGGTTATAAGCTGTACTTGTACATGCACACAATTGATCGATTGATCAATTTTTCTATCTATATCTCCCTCCCCCCGCCTCCCTCGTAGGTATGGACAAAAAGTTTCAAAAACATGCTCACTTTCCATGATTTGAAAAGCGATTCCATTGTACTCTTCCTGATTTGTTTTAAAATAAATATTAAGGGTGCCACAGAGACTATAAGGAAATTCAAGAAATGGTACTACTGTGAAAACCAAAGTTACAAATAAAATTTTTAAAATTCCATTCACTTTACAAAATATATTGCAAAAAAATCTATCTAACGTGATTCTTGCCACATAGCTTTTTGATTCAGAATATCTAGATCACTATTATACTTTCTTAACTTTTAAATAACCACATTTGAGCTTAAAATTAATGTGAAGTACACAGAGTGAATAAAATCTAGTGACAGACACAGAATTATACCCCTACTGCTGTACGCTTTTTTTTAAATGATGAGAGGCATTGACACAGGGCAAGGAGTTGTTCTACATGTCAATTAACAGGGAGGAAAACATCCAATTTTCCCTCGGCATAATGAAATTCACAAAGAGATTGAATTATAATTCTTTTGTCACCACTTGTTGACAAATCTGTTTAATGTTTCTAATAACAGAGTGTGTATACAACATGTTATGCCATAAACAATATCATGAAGCTAGCAAAACTCAATTATGTAAGTTTGACATTTACAAAAGACAGGCTAGACTACTTATTAAGCTAGTCCAGAAAGTCAAGTATTGTTTATTATAAACTTCTGAGGTGCTTATTATTTGTTAAATATTATAGTGGAAAGTCTCCTGATAATAAATAAGAAGTGATTATTTCCCAAAAGTAAAGTGCCTGCAAGTATACTATGCTTTGATTCAAATACGTAAACATTCTACTATCTTACTTTTTTCCTTTCTTTCAAAGCATTCTTCCTGACCTATACAATTTTTACTTATTACTCTAAGTAAGAAGAAAATAATGGGAATTCATCTTAATTTATGAGTTATGTAGGCCAAATGTCCACATATGTTTTTTCACATGGAAGTTAAAATTCAAGTATAATATGTGGGAACAGTGACTGAGCCACCTATATTACTCAGTGCTGTTCTGACAATAACAAAGTTAAGAAGTCAATTTTCATCTGGGCTTCTTTGATTAGCTGTGCAACCCAAGCAAGTCATTTAATCTAAATTTTAGCTTTTAATTTTTAATCCCAGGAGTTAAATTATCTACCTTTCTCAATTCATTGGGTTGTGATGGAAATCAAATGGCATTAAATTGTCAAAATGCACAGTTAACAGCAAAGGCTAAAGAAGACAGAATTTGGAGAGCTGAAACAAACCTTTCTGATTATATGTTCCTATAAAGCATTAAAAAATACAATAGGTGCATCCATACTGTGCTACTTTTAATAAATTTCCAAGTATAAGAAAATTTGACATATCTATCAAGAAATATTTATTGAACATGCATTATAGGTTTTAAACTGTTCGAAGAACTAAAACAGTCATATTTTATTTAAAAATTCAACATAAAATACCTTTAGAGGGCAAGCTCTCTAACTCTATGCAATATCGTTTTCTTGCATATAGTGATTAC